CTGAATGACGTGTCAGTGGAAGGCCATGGAAGAAACGCTCACGCTCTCTGGGATCCAACCCGGCGGGTATCTCGCGAATGAATACGATTATGTGTGTAACATTTATGGCGCTATTCTAAACTTAGGCGACTCTTGTTTTTGCTTCCAATCCTTGTTTCTGTAGAGACGCACACAACATTGCGCTCGGGCAGGATAGTGAAAGTATATATATATATACATAATATATAATATATATATATCAAGAGCTTAATAATACTCTTATATATATAGTGTCATTATTATTAGCTCTTGATATATATCGATTGTACACGAACGAGAGAGGAATCGGTTGGCAGACGTAAGGTATCAATAGCGTATTAGAAGGTAACCTTTCTTAATACGTGGGATATTGAAGGTATTTGCGTGTGTAGAGAGCGGGAAGGATTCGATTAACAGATGTAATGGCCTATTTACATGGATGGGGGGATGCTACACATGTGAAGACCATGTTTAAGCCATCAAACCTTCGTTTAACATTTACACAATTGTTTCTGCATTCTTTTCAAGCCAGCACGCGCGTGTCCGTGCTCCTGCTTCGCCTGCCTCAATATCCGCTATATCTTGCTTTGCCCTTGTCATGGTTTAGCCAACTCCTATGCATGTCTCAGCCTCTATGTGTCTCACTTCGGCTTATAAGCCATGTTCAACTTACACGGACACCACTTCACGTAGCATATCTTGCGGCTAACCGAAACAATATTTCTCGCAACAATTCTCTACCCCGAGCGCGTGTAATGTAATCAAGGTGGCAGAATACCTTGGTCGTTACGCATCACCACTTGCATTGCCGTATAACCAGTGGTTACGTTTCCAAATATCCAATTTCACAAGAGGGGAAGGAGGGAGAGGAGAACGCGATAGCGGAGAAAGAAATAGCAGCAGGGAGAGGCAAGACAGAGGGCAGGAGAGAAGAGAGAGGAGAGAGAGGCAGAGAACAGCAGCAGCCAGAGGAGCATGCAGATGCAGGAGAGAGAGAGTAGGAAAGAGAAGAGAGAGGAGAGAGCCGAGAGACGAGAGAGATAGAGAGAGAGAGGAGAGAGAGAGAGAGAGAGAGAGAGGAGAGAGAAGGAGACGAGCAGAGAGAGGGAGGAGATGCGAGACGCGACGAGAGATAGAAGAGAGAGATGAGAGCGGGAGAGCGAGAGAGAGAAGAGAGGAGAGAGAGAGAGAGCAGGATGAGAGAGAGTAATCAGAGAGATGAGTGAGAGGAAGAGCAGGCGCGCGAGAGAGAGAGAGGGATGGTCTTCATCCTCTCGGCTCACGCGTCCACGGTAATATTTCGTACATATAATGATGTGGTGTATTATTTACAAATTGCATACGGTATCGTTTTAACTGGTATTTTTCACAGAACAAAGGGCAGCAGAATTACACAGATCACCGAACCAAGTAGTGTTTTCCCTAACTTTTAACTGTTAGCTTCACAAGATTGTATCTTGTATTAGTTTACATTGATATTATAATTAGTTAATTACATATGATTAAACAATCAATAAGTACAGTCTCTGTTCGTGTGCACAGCAGTCAGTGAGTCACTGCATCTGTCACTGCCGTCCTAACGAATTTATTATTTGCAAACGTATATAACATGCAACACGTGATAAATCTAGTACCTATCATGCTCTGTGGGAAACTTGAAAAACGCTATATCTGGGTTTTTCTTCCTTGTATTGGAACAAAATTCCCGCACTGCAATAACCGCCAGCTGATGCTATTTTGAGTAGTTGACCGCTTCATTCGCCAGGGGCATCACCATCAAAACGCTTAACAAGACCTCCCAAGAGGTGCGTCTCGACGTAGAGGATAATCAACTTGGGCCCCTCTCGACTTGCTAGCACCGGTTTTCGCGAACGTAAAACGCAACGCGAAACCCAAAGTTTCACAAATTTTCTCACCTACATCGGCTAAATTACTGGGCTATATCATAAACCAATCGCATTTTCAACATTGCAGCTCATTTGAAACTATAGTGCGCTCCATAAATAAAAAAGAACAGTGAGGTCAATAACATCAGGACTGAATAATGTGAAAGCAGAATTCGAAACTACGAGGTTAAAACGCGCGCAGTAATGGCTGGCGTAACTAGATCTCTCTACGTAATGTAATGCGAGTCAAAGCGTGGAACGCCTTCACGACCAACGCATAATGTGGCTTAACGTCGATTTTCATTTGAATGACATAAGGCTGAGAAGCGTTTTCTATTTTATGTTATGACTATCTACTCACACGTAGGGTAGACGATGTGTCGCAGGGTATGCAGGATCGCCAGGGTTCGCGTTGAACGGCGATCCATGCGTTGGGTGATATCGGTCCAACACACCGTATGGCTCGTAGTTAGATCCAAATAGCGGGCTGAAGACGCAGATTTGTTGAGTTGTATCTGAAGGCTTCGAAAACGTGAGTGTTGGTCGTCTCGTACCAGGACGGAAGAACGATTTATACCGAAGATGGGCTGGGTTGTTGTTGAACGAAGATTCACCCAGAGGATGGTATCTATTTAAAGGCCCATACTCCCCTCCGTAGTTCGATGAAGAGATTCCTTTGGTGATAGAGCAATACAGCAATGCCATCTGTAAATAGAGACTCAGAGTAGTATATAACCACATGCATGCTATATCTATTGTAGCCAATAGATCTGATACAACGAATATTTCATGCGACATACAACATCACTTACGGCAACTTCAAAATGTCGTGATTTGCTTGTTTTCATATGCACGTGTTGACTGTATGAAAAAAATACATCGTAAAAATAAAGTTCAATCGATTTAAAGCAGTCTCGTCACAACCGCTTTCATGTTCTAAATCAATAATGAAGCGTAGCACTCTATTAGATAACAGAAACTAGTAGCGAACTAACGTACCTTAGGCAACTACCATAGTCGCAAAGGCTCACACATGGTATCGGATGACGGCGCGATCATTTTAATCGCTTTCTTTTGTATAACCTGAGGAAACATTGGAATCACGTATCAAAATCGACGACGGGGTAAGCTTTAAACAATACCAATAGCAGGTACAGCTTTATTATAATTGTGTTTGTAGCGATAGATTTTTATAGATTATAACTCTCATATATGATTACCTGTGTAGCAATTTCATCAAAAACGGCGCATGCATTG